CAATAGTCATTGTTTAGGGTTATACAAGTCATGGTATATACAATAGTCATTGTTTAGGGTTATACTAGTCTTGGTATATACAATAGTCATTGTTTAGGGTTATACAAGTCTTGGTATATATAATAGTCATTGTTTAGGGTTATACTAATGTTGGTATATACAATAGTCATTGTTTAGGGTTATACAAGTGTTGGTATATACAATAGTCATTGTTTAGGGTTATACTAGTCTTGGTATATACAATAGTCATTGTTTAGGGTTATACAAGTGTTGGTACATACAATAGTCATTGTTTAGGGTTATACAAGTGTTGGTATATACAATAGTCATTGTTTAGAGTTATACAAGTGTTGGTATATACAATAGTCATTGTTTAGGGTTATACAAGTGTTGGTATATACAATAGTCATTGTTTAGGGTTATACAAGTGTTGGTATATACAATCGTCATTGTTGGTATATGCAATATATTTACAGTTATGTGTATGTAACATTATTATGGTTCAGGGCTTGAAGGTGTCATCTAAAAACATCACAGGATGTGTACATGGTATGGGATAGGTGATTGTCTTGTGCCAACCAATATATATGACCTAATGAATGCATATGACTTATAGTTGGACATGAGAGGACATGGCAAACGCAGTAGAGGATATCACACATTGTTTCACTGGTATGGGAGAGGTGTGATCATGAAATTGATGAGTGTAAAAATATGTAAAGAATTGTTAATTCCACACTTTATGGATGGGGGGGGGGGTGTTAATAGATTTTTTTTTGGCCACTGACTGACAGTTCTGTGTTGTTACAGAATATGACAGAATATTAGTTGATAACTTCCTGTTTCTCCTGCGATGTCTAAATGAATGGCTTGACCAAGACTATATCACAGTATATATTTAGTTTGCATGTATTGAATTGAAATCTTTTTTATTAACATCACAGGACAATCAAGTCAGTGAAAACAAGTAGGGACAAAGAGGTTATTTGATGAAAATCCTTTGATATTGTGCTATTTTTAGCACAAAAATGTTTGTTTTACATAAATACAATACATTATCACTAGAACATTCATGTAATAACTGTTTAAGCCATTAATGACAGAGCAATAGACAGCCAATGATAATATGCATATTGTAATTAGTAGAATTAATCATGAATGATGACATAGTATAAGTAATGCAATCAAATGCTCATGACATTGACATAGACACAGTCTTGTGACACTGGATAGGTCATGGATAGGACACAGAGCAAGAATGCAAAGTAAATAACAGTTAAATAAAATAAATAAGAGTAAAAGTTACAAATTATAAGAGCAGTTATGATGACATTCCTGAAAGAAATCTTTGCATATGAAAACACCAGTTAAAGTGCAATTAGATATCACCCTGTCTCATATGGATTCTAGTTTGACATTTTGATTCTGACATGCTCTATGTGTGCCATGGGTCAATATGCATGAAATTTCTAAAAAAAAAGCAGAATATGAAATTACTTTTACTGGATGCACAGCTGTTGTGGTGAGCAGAACCTTGGTGCTTGTATTCATCATGAATTTCACAACGTATCAAATGTTCACAAACACGGCAAAGAAATACAAAATGTTTATATAGTTTGCCAACACTGCCGTAGTTTGCAATATTATGTATTTTTGTACAGAGATGTACAGTGACCGGAAAACAAAGTAGACTTCTATGTGCCTTACTCATATTGACTCATGGCTGAGGAAGAGACAGCACGTCATCAGAACACTTCAAGCCATGCAATCATTTGTGAGTAGAAGAAGGAAAAATATAACTCGTAGATGATTGCATGAAACAACACAGAGTTGCCAAATAGTGACATTAGGGCCATGCAAGTAAGGCTTTGCTTTTAGTCAGCAGGTGTGAAGTGTTGAACATGTGATGATCACATGACAGTCATATGACTTGCACACATTAGCTTTATTACATTAATGATATTAAAAAGGTTGCACAAATGAAAATTAAAATATTATTTCATGAAATGTAATGTAATGAAACAAAATGAGTAACTGAAATACACTCAAACCTAAAGTGGGAAAAGTCATTGAATTACCACGGAAACCGAACTTGACACTAGTCAGCTAGAAAACTTACACTGACACATATCACCAGGGGCAGCAGGAGCTGTTTTGAATAAAAAGAATAAATTTAAAAAAGCACGTATTAATTTGACATTCTTCAAGTATCAGGAATTAGTCAACTTAAACTAACATTGATTTGATAAAGCAGTCATTACAGTCAAGCAACGACCAATCAGAATGGTTCTTATATGCTTGCATTTTCTCATTAGCTGAATAATTCATTAAAATTTCCATTCATATAAATATTAGTTTGTTTTCATGTGATTTGTTGAGCTATGGCATGAGTCAGAACTGAGCAAAATTCATCTATATATGCCACAGACCCAGTTCTGGAATTGTAGAAACACTTTTCACAGTCAAATTGATAAAGCCAACTAAGATATACAGCAATGACAAGCACTTTCACTTGGCCATGATTATGCTGATGTAAAACTACCAATTTGAATTGGATCATAAAGCAAGTTACAACTTTAGAGTAAGCCTGAGTGAAATCAGTTGAGATATGGACTGACAGCAATGAATGTACACACACTTAATGAATAGAAAGATGAATGGAGACCAAACAATTTGTCAATCTTTTCATTCAAAATGGAAGATTATATTTCACCAATAAAAGTGAATCAATTCGGAAGTAAGCAAAAGAATATTCATGAAGCAAATGTGTGGTTGATTTGTTGTTACAACTAACAAGTGTCAAGTTATGTTTCTATGTGAATATATCTTAATACAGGTGAATGTATAAGGTTTGCCTAAGGCACATTATTGCTATGTGTTAATTGGAAGTTTGATGTGGTGTGCATAAAAAAGTTGACTATTAATGGGTACAAAGTTGGCTGACATTCAATGGATACATTGTGGGTACAAAGGTAGTTAACATTCAATGGGTACAATGTAGGTACAAAGTTGGCTGACATTCAATGGGTACAATACGAGTCCAAATTTGGTTGGCATTCAATGGGCACAAGATGGGTACAAGGTGGTTAACATTAAATGGGTACAATATGGGTACAAAGTTGTGTGGCAATCAATGGGTACAAAGTTGGTTGACATTCAATGGGTACAAGATGGGTACAAAGATGGCTAACATTCAATAGGTACAAATACGGCTGACATTCAATGGGTGTAACATGAATACAAAGATGGCTGATATTCAATAGGTACAAAGTTCGCTGACATTCAATGGGTGTAACATGGGTACAAAGATGGCTGATATTCAATAGGTACAAAGTTCGCTGACATTCAATGTGTACAATATTGGTAAAAATTTGGTTGGCATTCAGGGTACAAAGTGGTTAACATTTATTGGGTACAATATGGGTACAAAGTTGGTTGGCATTCAATGGGTACAAGATGGGTACAAAGTTGGTTGGCATTCAATGGGTACAAAGTTGGTTTGAACTCAATAGGATAGGATTAAAATACAGATGTAGTAGAGATTGACACCTTTCTTTTACAAGAAATTCAGATTTCAGATATTTTTTCTGTAAATTAAAAACAGATTTTTCTGTAAAACAGGCTAAACAGAAACAAGACTGCAATGAATCAGAATTTAGCCAATTGCAAGACAGTTATAAAATGACCAATACACTGACCAAACTGAGAAGAGTATAACCATGTACTTTCGGTGGGGAGAGAAAAAATTATTGATACAACACGCTGTAAGTAACCGATCTTGCAGAGTTACAGAAAAAAACACCAAATGTTTCATGAACAATGGTGATATTATAACTAGATAGATTTTAAGGTTGCAACAAAGTGTACAAAAATGTAGCTTATCAAGTGCTTTACTGATTAAGTACATCCAGATTTTATAGACACACTTTTACCAACATCTCCCAAAATATATGTCCCAAACTTGCCAGCACTGAATTGCATCAGAAATATACATTGATTGACAATATTTGGGAATGATTGGAGAAGGACAATGCCAGACAGACAAGTTAATTCATATACCTTCATTTAAGGCAAATCAGAAAATGAAAGGCAAATTTAATTTGATGCAAAAGCAAAATAAATTGCGCACACATGTTAAAATATAATAGTCAGCTAGGCATGCACATCAGAATAATTTGGAAAACTTTATTTTTGGACCTAATATGGAACATTAATGATTGCAGTAGGTAATATGGGTTAATTAAGGTATGACAAGGTTGGTATTTGGGTGTAACAATGAACATCAATGGTAGTTGTAGGGTAATATGGGTGCAACAAAGAATAACAAGGTTGGTATTTGGGTTTAACAATGGAACATCAACAGTCGCAGTAGGATAACATGGGTTAATTAAGGAATGACAAGGTTGGTATTCGGGTGTAAAAATGGAACATCAATGGTAGTTATAGGGTAATATGGGTGCAACAAGGAATAACAAGGTTGGTATTTGGGTTTAACAATGGAACATCAATGGTTGCTGTAGGGTAAGATGGGTGCAACAAGGAATAACAAGGTTGGTATTTGGGTTTAACAATGGAACATCACTGGTTGCTGTAGGGTAAGATGGGTGCAACAAGGAATAACAAGGTTGGTATTTGGGTTTAACAATGGAACATCACTGGTTGCTGTAGGGTAAGATGGGTGCAACAAGGAATAACAAGGTTGGTATTTGGGTTTAACAATGGAACATTAATGGTTGCTGTGGGGTAATATAGGTGCAACAAGGAATAACAAGGTTGATATTTGGGTGTAACAATGGACTATCAATGATTGCAAGTAGGTAACATGGGTTAATTAAGGAATAACAAGGTTGGTATTCGGGTGTAAAAATGGAACATCAATGGTTCCAGTAGGGTAATATGGGTGCAACAAGGAATAACAAGGAAGATAGTTGGGTTTAACAATGGAACATCAATGGTTGCTGTAGGGTAATATGGGTGCAACAAGGAATAACAAGGTTGGTATTTGGGTTTAACAGTGGAACATCAATGGTTGCAGTAGGGTAATATGGGTGCAACAAGGAATAACAAGGTTGGTATTTGGGTGTAACAATGGAACATCAATAGTTCCAGTAGGGTAATATGGGTGCAACAAGGAATAACAAGGAAGATAGTTGGGTTTAACAATGGAACATCAATGGTTGCTGTAGGGTAATATGGGTGCAACAAGGAATAACAAGGTTGGTATTTGGGTTTAACAGTGGAACATCAATGGTTGCAGTAGGGTAATATGGGTGCAACAAGGAATAACAAGGTTGGTATTTGGGTGTAACAATGGAACATCAATAGTTCCAGTAGGGTAATATGGGTGCAACAAGGAATAACAAGGAAGATAGTTGGGTTTAACAATGGAACATCAATGGTTGCTGTAGGGTAATATGGGTGCAACAAGGAATAACAAGGTTGGTATTTGGGTTTAACAGTGGAACATCAATGGTTGCAGTAGGATAATATGGGTGCAACAAGGAATGACAAAGGTTTAGTTCAACTTACAGCATGCACTCATTACTTCATTCAGACTTAGCACGTTTTCGAGGTGGTTCATCTACAAGAAGTTTGAAAATAAAAACGTCAACTAATCATACATGCAGCATGCTTGTAAATGTATAAATAATGAACAGAGCATTAATGACAACATTGTCGGGCAAACAATGATAGCATACAATTAAATAAGTTCACAACAAATGGAAAATCAAATTAAACTTAGAAAACCAATGTGCTGAGAAAATACTTGAGGCAAACATTTAATACATGATATCAATACTGGAAATATCTAAATTTAAATGAAATAATCCATATTTTTTTAATCAATTAAATACTGAGCCAAAAGGAACATTTTAAACCCACATAAATATTTGTTTGGTCATACTATGAATACTATGCAACAGCACCTAGAGATCTGGCAATGTAATTGTGAACAGCACCTAGACATCTGGCTATGCATTTGTGAACAGCACCTAGACATCGGACTTTGCATTTGTGAACAGCACCTAGACATCTGGCTTTGCATTTGTGAACAGCACCTAGACATCTGGCTTTGCATTTGTGAACAGCACCTAGACATCGGGCTTTGCATTTGTGAACAGCATCTAGACATCGGGCTTTGCATTTGTGAACAGCACCTAGACATCTGGCTTTGCATTTGTGAACAGCACCTAGACATCGGGCTTTGCATTTGTGAACAGCACCTAAACATCTGGCTATGCAATTGTGAACAGCACCTAAACATCTGGCTATGCAATTGGGAACAGCACCTAAACATTTGGCTATGTAATTGTGAACAGCACCTAAACATCTGGCTATGCAATTGTGAACAGCACCTAAACATCTGGCTATGCAATTGTGAACAGCACCTAAACATCTGGCTATGCAATTGTGAACAGCACCTAGACATCTGGCTTTGCAATTGTGAACAGCACCTAGACATCTGGCTTTACATTTGTGAACAGCACCTGGACATCTCACTATGCACAAGTGAACAGCACCTAAACATCTGACTATGCAATTGTGAACAGCACCTAAACATCTGGCTATGTAATTGTGAACAGCACCTAAACATCTGGCTATGTAATTGTGTACAGCACCTAGAAATCTGGCTTTGCAATTGTGAACAGCACCTAAACATCTGGCTATGCAATTGCGAACATCACCTGGAAATCTGGCTATGCATTTGTGAACAGCACCTAAACATATGGCTATGTAATTGTGAACAGCACCTAGACATCTGGCTATGTAATTGTGAACAGCACCTAAACATCTGGCTATGTAATTGTGAACAGCACCTAGAAATCTGGCTGTGCATATAGAAACAGCATCTAAACACCAATTTTCAGCTCATTATCATAAATAATCATTATATTACTTAAATGCGTTGCTATACAGAAAAGAAATATTTAATGTGACATCGGTCACCAAATTTCATCTATTAAAAATATTACATTGGTCTGTTTGATTGTGCCACCATTGCAAGGACAAGTATCTTCCTATAATTAGGACAAAATATTCTCTTGTACAAACTCTCATGATGCAGAAAGTTAATCAAAGGTGTTTCGAGTTCTGGAATCGCTTGTTATGTTTTCATATGTGATGAAACTATAGTAGACCGCTTAATTTTGAGATTGGAGTAGTTTATGTTTTTACATGCGATTAAACTACATTGTATTGTAGACCACTTAATTTTGAGTTGGGGAATTGTTTGTTATGTTTTTATGTGTGATTAAACTAATGGAAAATGCTTAATTTTTGCTGCTAGGAATTGTTGTGATTTGAGGATTTTACGGCATTCCTGAAGCCGCTGACATTTGTACAAAATTTGCCTCACAAAATTAAAGTGGTTTACAGTATTTACAATATGATTCACAAAGCTAAATTTTATGAAAATATGAAAAATGCAATTTCTCTGTCGTTTTGACATTGGTCATGTGATAAAAAAGTTATTACCTGATACCAACAGCTGGTTGATACAAGTGAGGCTAGTATTATCCGAAACCGAAAATAGTCCATGACATCATTAACCAGCTCTAGGAATAGGTGATATCAGGTGATAACCTTATAATATCAATGAACCTCTGAAAACAGAATATCTTCATCTTTTTCAAAGTAACAGATTTTATCAAACTGATACAAAAGCCATTTTTGGAGTAAATTGTCTACAATGAGAGAAGGCAGCAATGAAGTTAGATATACTGAAGGAAAGAAGCAATAAGTGTTACCAGGATTTATGCAGATCCATGACTCCTAGCCCTACAGAGCTGAAAAGTTGAATGAATGCATTTAAACTTACAAGACGTTTACAAGCAAGACAACACATCACAATTAAATACAAGACGAAGTACATGATGAAAAGCAGAGACAATTTTTACCTTTCCCGCCAATTAATTTGAAGAACAAGAACACTGGCTGTAGCGAGAAGAAAAAAAAGAATAAACAAATTATTATTATTTTGTAAATATCTGTCATCATGTACACAAAGATACTGTTATATTTTCATCGCTATCAATTTTCATAATTTGATAATCAAATAGAATTCATGAACAAAAGCCATTATGACTCCCTAGGCCCCAAGTGATAGTCACTGTGACTCTCTAGGTCCTGAGTAAAAGTCACTGTGACTCCCTAGGCCCCTGGTGAAAGTCAGTTTGACTCTCTGGGGCCTAAATGAAATTCAGTGTGACTATCCAGGGCCTCAGTGAACGTCAGTGTGACTCCCTAGACCCCCAGTGAAAGTCAGTGTGACTCCCTAGACCCCTAGTGAAAGTCAGTGTGACTCCCTACGACCCATAAGAAAGTCACTGGGATTCCTTAAAGCCCCAGTGAAGTCATGGTGACTTCCTGGGATGTCAGTGAAATTATGGTGAATCCCTAGGACGCCAGAGGAAGTCATAATCTTAAATTGATGAGTAGGATATTATGAACTTTGACCTACATAATCTATCAAGACCTATAATGGTATAGGTTGAATGATGAACTGAAATGTTTCTCCCATACAATAACTACAATGTTATAATTGAACTTATTCCTACCTTGTGATCTCCCATACATACATCTGGACCTATAACACTATAGTTTGGCGGATGAACAATATCCTAAAACAAAAAAAACAATAACATAATGGTAATACTTTTCTGATAAAGATAACATACACTGAACAATATATATAACTATTAAGATGCGACTCTCAACATTGCAAAGTAAATGAAACCATTTCTCACGTTCAATTTGATTACAATAGGAGAAATTCAATGAGCACAATAATTAACTTGCTGTAATAAATATTGGTGGATGCACAGGTTTGTCTGCCTTGAAATAAGTATGTGAACCTTGTGATGTAAGCCGTGAAAGAGTGTTAAAAAAAGTTGAACTAAGGTGTAGATGCACAACGTGATTTCATACATTCCCTAACCACTAAACAGGAAGTAGTCCTTGACCTTGAATGGGTAAACACACATGTAACCTTGATTGAAAATGGATAATTTCCTGTGACATCGTCCTCTTAGGGTCATATAAGGTAATTCCCATAAGAGACAACAGGATCACGCAGGGTTAGTTGGAGCTGTCTCTAGAACGATATGGATCACTGAAAGAAACATCGGATGGCTTTGATTTCTTGTCCCCATGGCTTGTGCCTACATCATGTGACTTTTGCCAATGATGAGACATCAAGATGGATTTTTGGAAAAGTGAACTGGGCAACAAATTCTAGCTCAATAACAATCAAGTTCACAAATGAAAAAAAAAAAACTCATTGAGTAAGCGGAATTACATCATCATTCTGTAAATTGCATTATAACAAATACAAACAATAATCTCAGTAGTATGTCTGACTGATATCTGCCCAGGCATGTTTGTATATTTATTTATTAACACAACACTGACTTACGTAAAAATAAGGTCCAAATAAAAATAAAATGAATAACAATGAGTACATTAACAATAAATTAAAAAGTTTTATTTACCGATTTCATGATTCCTTAGCAATTAAACATACACAATTACAATATATTTTTACTTATATTCCTACTATGAGGCATTTCTGTCTTGTTATAAAGCAACATTTAATAAGTCATTGTCAATGACATAGTCTCTATTTGTATTATAGATGTGAGATATATATATAACTGATGTGTGATGTATTTGTGAAGTTCAAACTTGATTGGTCCGGGTATGTATGAGATATGCTCTGTGGAACTGCATTCGTTTCAGTCATTTTGGATTTGATGGTGGCAAAAATGCATGTGCGTTTGTCTGATATAATGTCTGATGTATGTGTAAAGTTTGAGCTTGATTGGACCAGTCAGAATGAAGATGTGAAACAAAATGGCCACCAGTGAACTATTTTGAACCAAACTCAATACGAAAAATAAAATGGAGTGCATCAAGGTCCCATAATGTTCAAAATCTGATGCACAACAGAGATCGGATTCCAAAATGGTGAAAGTGTGTAATTTTGAGATATTTGTGGCTTTAAAATGGCTGCTAATCGGCCATCATGAAACAGATCATGAAACAAATGCATGTGCATACATGTATGTTAGATATGATGTATGTGATCAGTCTTAGCATGTCAGATATATGAATTCAGAACTGCATTCTTTGAACAAAATGGCCGCCAGTCAGGCATTTTGAACTTGATTAAAAAAATAAAATGATGGGCATCAAGATCCTATTGTGTTCAATGTATGTACCAAAATTAAACCAAACCTGCTACAAATGACTGAGATAAGGTTCCTGAATCATGAAAGTGTGCATTTTTGGCATCAAAATGGCTGTCATTCGGCCATCTTGAATTGGATCATGAAACTAATGCATGTTGCAATGCAATGGCTGAATTTGAACTTCGGCTCAAGCATGTGTGAGGTAAGACTGGATAAGGACGGACAGACGTATGCATGCATGCATGGATACACACACACGGATCAATAAATCCCTATTTTCGGTCTTCATTCGAACTAGGAACAATAAATTGTGAATTACTGACCAATGTACTGTTTTTAATACTAAACTTAAAGTTAAAATTAAAAGTAACCTTATTGCACACACAGAATAATATTAGAGGACACTGTACCTTTTGTACTAAATCTCTGGCAGAGTGAGACAGTAATATCCTATCACACCAACCAGGTATCCTTGTACCCATATAATCATGGCCTTTATTGAGATCCTCAGAATACGGATAACTGAAAATAGACAAAATTATCAAATAATATATTACAGTGTCAGTATAGGTTGAGAGAATTAACATAGTGTAACTATAACAAGCTTGCCCAGGTGGAATGATACCACAGATAGGAAAGTGTTATATTGATGCCCATAATCTTGTCTCACCTTGGGGGGAATTCTACATCATATTCATATAGTCTGTCATAAAAGTACCTAGCTTCTCGGTCAAACTTTCGTAACTGTAATAATAAAAAAGTTTGTTTTATATAGCATAGAGAGACCAGTGTTATTCACACAACATGATGTTCTTGTAATTTGCATATTGCAACACGTGCTTCCATAGGATGTTGTAATTTGCATATTGCTGTAATTTGTATACTGCAACACAGGATTCCATATGTAACAGAATTACTATGTCACTCACCCATCTGCCTTTATTTTCAGTGTAGATCTTAGGATTATGGGGCGTGAACTTCTTTTTTTCCATTGTTAAGATAACCTGATGGTGAAAGAAATGTTTAAAGACCCATTTATAGACAAATACACTTTTTGGATTTATAATTCAATGGAATGACCATATTCATCAACTCGTACCTTATTCTTGTTGTCATTTTCGATGTAAGTCACTCTCTTTATTTCATCATTCTCCTTTAGGTACTCTGCAGTGGCCTTCGCACACAGCGACTGAAATAGAATAAATTTAATCGCAAAATATTATTGTTTACTTTGTTTACATGTGTTAGTCTTAATATATCATTGAAACAGACAGATACACATGCACACACAGATGGGGTTAGCTGAAAAGACACCCATTGTATGCTTTGCACACAGCAGTCGAAAATTGAAATTTAATAATTTCCTGATCACTTAAGAAATGTCATCAATGAATCAGTGCAGAATCACTCTCAATAATCGTGTAATGTCATCATTCAATCTCATCTCTATCATTGAAGTGCAGAAAATTCAACACTTGAGAATCACTGAATCACTAAATCACAGATAACAACACATATCCATGCGAAGACTCGGTTCACATTCAATGCTGCATATTAATATAAGCTAGCCTGGTTCTCACCTTAATGACCCCATACTGGTCTAGTCTGAAGTTAAAGTCACCAAACATAATAAATGGCACTTTATCATATTTATCTGAAGAAAACCTAAAAAAAACAACATAAATTTGAAACAAAATACCGGACATTATAAAGTGAATTGTCAGTTGTAGATGTGTAATATTTCTAGGTGATAGATTATTGTCATTGCTTTAAAAATGCAATATGAACAAGAACATGTCATTTTTAATATTGCTGGTAAATACTGTATGTTGAAAAATATATTGACTACACTTATAGCAAACATCCACATCAAAGTGTTCATTGAAACTGTTAGATTCTCTAATATTGTATGTACACTGGTTGTTTTGGTATGTACAGTTTGTATATTCAGAATTATTTTTCTCACTTGCTTCACTTCACTGAGTTACTACAAATGTTTATTTTAGAATGCTTTAAAAAACAAATGTAGCAATCCCATTTCCGAACGCATATTTTCTAGAAATGGATATATTTGAAATCATTCACAAATTAAATACAGTTTATTTACATACAACTATAATAGATTATACATTGACCAAATAAAGTATGAGTGTGGGTCTTAGAATGCCTGCTATGGAAACTGCACTGAACCTTAACATGAACCCCCCTCCCTCCGGAAAATTTCCCGTTTTTCACAGCTTTACGTTTAAATCACAACACTCTCTCACAATATCATATTTTATTTACAAATTTATTAGTCTATCATGATGACAATTGTTATAAGCATAATCAACATATGCAATGATCATTGATCACTCCCTCTAACCTTAATGTGTTTATTGTACCAAACAGCTGGATTAAAATTACCCCCACCTGGTCCAAGCTTTGTTGTCCACTTTCAGATCAACCACATCTGAACTCTGTATTAAGTACACTCTTGTCATCATGGCTG